TGTTCTCAGTGCTCCAATACCTTTACTTCCCTTTGGCTGTGAAACTTTCATTTACTCCTATTTTTATTTACACTCCTTCTTACAACAGTTATTGTAGAGACTAGGCAGAGAACTCAGAAGTGACAACTCCATATGTACTTGAGTAATGAGTTTGGGGTCTTCACGCAGGGGGTCAATGAGAATAGTCAGATTATAAGGACCACATGGTTAACTGACAAATTATGAGGGTTTCAGGGTAACTTGCTAGATTCTCACATCTGCAGGGTAGATTCCAAGGCTCTCAGGGTAAATGGGCACAGTGTATGGTATTAGGGTGAATATTCAGATTCTCTGGTTGTAAATGTGAAATTCTTAGGATGATCAACCACCATCCACTGTGCCTTTAGTGATTTAATTAAATCATATTCATTTGTCAAATTCAAGAATATCAAATTGTGAAAATACTGCATAGTAATCATAACTAGGAAATATATTCTTAATAATAATGATAGCAACAATACTAATACACGTGAGTTATAGGACAAAACAGCAAACTGTAAGTATTACACGTTTTCTTTAGGTAGTAAGAAGAAGTACATAAAAGTGTAATGTAATTCCCATTTGTCAAACCTAGGAAATTTTGCAGGACGACTATCGTATGCTATAGATCTCTTTCTGCCATCCCAACTCTGCCCCTTGCTTTAATAAACAATCCATCTTTCCTATTGCAGGTCCTTGACAATCTCGATAACCATTTAAACAGCTCGGAATATTTTCGCTTCTTCTGGTTTCCGCACACGGATAAAGTCAGCGCGTATTATCAGGATCCTACAGACAAGGTATTAACTGGTCCTCACTGTGTTTGTAAAACAAAATCCCTGATTATCATTCAATGATTCTGCTTGTTGGAGCTTGCTACTTATATAGAAAAGGAACTGTGTGATTGCAATACATTTTGTGGTAGTATTTTCAATGATATTCTAGATACCAGTTTTTATTTTTACACCAGAGCAAAAAACAGTAAAAACGTAATTTCTTTTTTAAGGAAAACATTGACTTTTAAAGGACCACTATAGTGCCAGGAAAACATACTCGTTTTCCTGGCACTATAGTGCCCTGAGGGTGCCCCCACCCTCAGGATCCCCCTCCCGCCGAGCTCTAGGGTGAGTAAGCGGTTAAACTTACCTCTTTCTCCAGCGCCGGGCGGGGAGCTCTCCTCCTCCTCTCCGCCTCCTCTCCTCCTCCTCGGCTGAATGCGCATCCGTGGCAAGAGCTGCGCGCGCATTCAGCCAGTTTCATAGGAAAGCATTCACAATGCTTTCTATGGACGCTGGAGACTTCTCACTGTGAAAATCACAGTGAGAAGCACGCAAGAGCCTCTAGGGACTGTCAATGAGACAGCCACTAGACGCTGGATTAACCCTAATATAAACATAGCAGTTTCTCTGAAACTGATATGTTTATAGAAAAAAGGTTTAACCCTAGTTGTACCTGGCACCCAGACCACTTCATTAAGCTGAAGTGGTCTGGGTGCCTATAGTGGTCCTTTAACCCCTTAAGGACACATGATATGTGTGACATGTCATGATTCCCTTTTATTCCAGAAGTTTGGTCCTTAAGGGGTTAATGTTCTTAGCTGTGGTCCAGGTCCCTAGAACATATTTGTAATAGTGCTTGTTGTGGGTTAGAGTCATATTGGGAATGTGATTGAATATACTGTCATACTGTAGAGTTTTGGGGTTCCTAATTAGCTTACAGAGGTTAATGTACTTAGGTATAGGTAGGTTTTGTAACTGCTAAAATGATGTTATATGTTTGCTACAATACACTGTTCATTGAAAAAAATTAACTGGTCAATGGATTCATGGGCAGAGCATCTTTGCTTAAATCTGTAATCTCTCTAAAACTGCTGTATCTATTGCACATTCTGACTGTTCTACCCTCCAAACAGATGAAAAACATTTTAAAGGAACACTATAGTGTTAGGAACACAAACATGTAGTCCTAATCCTATAGTATTAAAAACAACATCTAGCTTCCCTGATCCCCCCTTGCCCTCCTAAATATAGTAAAATCTTACTTGTATTCCAGTCTGCAGCTGGCTCTACCCCTAATATGTCTCCTTGGCTGACATCATCAAAAGTGATGATCAAAGCCAATCACAATGCCTTCCCATAAGAAAACACTGGATTGGCTTACATTGTCAAGGAGGCAGATCAGGGGCAGAGCCAAACACAGGGCTGGCCAATCAGCATCTCCTCATGGAGATTAATTAAATCAATACATTTCTTCGAGGAAAGTTCTTTTTTTTATGCAGCGTGTGGAGATGCTGATTGGATGCAGCACTGATCCAGTAAGAACATTCAGTGGCCGTCTGAGTTCTTAGTCTGTAATGTAAACACTGTATTTTCTCTGAAACATATGTTCCTGACCTTATAGTGTTTAACCCACCATCTAGCCCCCCCTTGCTTAAATATAGTAAATTATTACTTGTATTCAAGTCTGCAGCTGCTCGCTCTGCCCCTGACCTGAATGCTTAGCTGACATCATCATACGTGGTGGTCTGAGCCAATCACATCACTTCCCCATAGGATTGGCTGAGACTGTCAAAGAGGCACATCAGTGGCAGAGTCAGCACAATTTAAACACAGCCATGGCCAATCAGCGTCTCCTCATAGAGATGCTTTGAATCAATGCATCTCTATGAGGAAGGTTCAGTGTCTGCATGCAGAGGGTGCAGACACTGAATGGCAGTGCTTCTCACTGTGCAGCACTTCCCCAGGAAGCACATTTAGCAGCCATCTGAGGAGTGGCCAGTGGAATTATCACTAGGCTGTAATATAAACATTGCATTTTCTCTGGAAAAGCCTGAAGGTAATGATTCTACTCCACAGAACAAATTCAATAAGCTGTAGTTGTTCTGGTAACTATAGTGTCCCTTTAATCAAATTCCCAAGGAATGGAAAGAATCTTATAATTAATTGTGTTTCATCTGCTAAAGCATCTGAAACCACATTTCACAATTAATTGCTATATAACCTAGCCTCTGGTTACAGACATGCCCTGGATTGGGTGGTTGGGGAGTCCTGTTATTATAACATGGATCTAGAGCAACATTAACATTATTGTGTTATTAACATTTTTAAACATTAAAGATAAACTCACCCTTTTCCAGCTCCAAGTCTCCCTTGGCACTGCTTTCCTCTCTGTAACTCCCGTGTCATCACTGAGGAAATATGGCCAAGGAGGATTGGCTATGGCCAATGCAATACTTAAACTTCCCTATGAGAGAGCATTGAATCAATGTTTTCCTAAGGGGCTTCCGCGTCACATGACCAATTTTACTCATAGAGGTGGACTTAACCCTGCATGTTTCTAAACTACTACAGTGTTTTATATTGCAGGGTTTAAAGTACACAGATACTAAACTTGGAAAGTCTGTGATTGGACAGTCACGGAAAGTCTGGGCGGGGTTAGAAGGGGAGGACTTGAAAAGGCAGCAGAAAAGAGAACTGGAGCTTTTGAATGGTGTTTTTAGATATACTCTCAATTCCCCCAATGAAAAAAATGCATAATTAAATGCATGCGTGTTTTAATTGGAGATAGATAGAACCAGATCAATAGAATTATTTATCTAAGGTTATATCCAAATTTGATCTAAGGAAAACTTGATTTTCAGTATTATAAGTATCAAAGACATTTTATAAATATTATTTTTTTTTTGCACACCATTTCTTTATTTTTTGTCATTGTGATAGTAGTTATATTACTTGTATCTGGAAAACAATTGTTACATTTGTTAAAATATATATATAAAAAAAAAAAAAATACACACATGTATGTACCAAAAGGTTCATGCATTTGAGCCCTGCCGAAGATAAATAAGTAGAACATTCAATGTTGAAACAGGATCTCTAAAACCAATAGTTCTGATGGTATAGATCATGGGTCATCAACCTGGTCCCTACCACCCACTAGTGGGCATTTCAGGATTCCAGGTGGGCGGTAGGGGGTTCAGCAGCACAACAAGCTGAATCCTCCATCCATCGAGAGAGTGCTCGGACGGGCGTGAGTGCACAAACGCGTACATATGCGCGCGAACAAGAGAATGCGTGCATGAGAACAAGAGAATGCATGCATGCATGGGCGTGCCAACACGAGCGAGTGTAACACGTGGGAAGAGGAAGGGGAGGAGTAGGAGCTGATGCACGATAGCAGGGACAGGCAGAAGCAGAGCAGAGCACTTGTAAAATAGGAGAAAGAAAATTTATAGGCAGAAGAAGGAGAATTGTTGTTGGCTAATAATAATAAGTGGACTAACTAGCTCAGCCTTACGTTTGGACATTGCCATAAGGAAAGTAAAAGAAAAGCATAAAAAAAGGAGATAAAAAGGAAAATATCAAAAAAAATTAAAAAGGGAAGAAAAATAGAAAAAAGGGGATAAAATAAAGGAGGAGAAAACGCAGTGTTTAGTGTTTTGGCAAGTTAAGTTTTGTTATTTTATAAAATAAAAGAAAGAAAGAAGGAAAATAAGTAAAGGAAGGAGAAGGAGAGAATAAAGAGAAAGGGAACAAGAGACCCCTGATATATTGATATAATATAAGGAGGGTAAAGAAGAAGAAGGCAGGAAAAGTAGCAAAAAGAAGGGGAATTTCTTTTTATGGTGACACGTAATAAAAACTGGCAGCTAATATGGCGTTGTTTTGGGTGTTTGTAATAAAAGGATAAAGAGGGGTGGGTGGGGGGGGAAGCACGGTGTGGAGTGCAGATCAAAACGTGGTAAGAGTAAAAGTAGTTGTTAAATTGGGCAATAAATTTAGGACCCACGTCTGAAAAAAAAGAAATCTGCTCGTGGCTATTTACCAGAATATCTGAAGACACTGGCACTAAAAAGGTTCGAGTTACTGCAGCACTGGTGGGCGGTAAGGAAATTTTACCATCAAGAAAGATGCACTAGTGGGCGGTAGGTATAAAAAGGTTGACTACCCCTGGTCTAGATCATGGGTCCTCAAACTCCGGCCCCCCAGATGTTGCTGAACTACAACTCCCATGAATTACAAAGATAGCCAGAGAATCATGGGAGTTGTAGTTCAGCAACATCTGGGGGGCCAGAGTTTGAGGACCCCTGGTCTAGATCAATAATACTCACATAGTAGTTGAAAATGACTGAAGTTCAACCTAGATACCCATTCTTTTTACATTGGCATTCTACATGTGTTTGATTTTCTTTTCCACGATAATCCATGAGCCTTAAAGGAGGGAGGATGGAAGCAATGAAGAATGTATGGGCAGGTGGGAGGGCAGAGTTTTTAGGGCTGAATGAGCAATATTGGATATATAGTTCAGACCTACTGGAGCCATCATTAGTATAGACTGCCATTGGTGCTAAAGGAATTTTATCAACTCACTGCTAGGACAAATGAAGCTCTAAATCTTTTCTTTTTTCTTTCGTTCCACTGACCTTGCAGAGTAGATACAATACATACAGAAGGACTTCGTTATTAGTAGCTCTGCATGGTGTCATTATTAATACATGTTTATTTCAGATTTCACTATGGTAACTCAAATAAAACCTAGAAACCATTTCACTTCTGTAAACGGTAATGAAAGGTCAGAGTCTGCATCATGTTTTCATCCAGCTTTCTCCTTTTATTTTAACAAGCATAAACAACTTTCATTTAATTCCCTACATCAGTATAAAGAGAATAAACATAAAGAAATAAAATCCATAAGAATGCACAGCAGCCTCTCTTATTTATGAATATTTTATCTGTAGGCAAATCTGATCAGAGATTTTTCCAGGTTTTGGCACATACAAACAGAATAAGAAGAATCCATTTAATAAAATCCCTCATAGGATGAGCCAAATGCCATTTAGCCATGTGCAAAAATGTGGTTCATTCATGAACTGAATTGTCCAAATCAAAATCCTTTTAATCCACACCTGAATTAATCAATTTGCCTTTAATTTCCTGATTATTTGAATCATTTAGGTGTGATTTGAAAGGTTTTTGAATTGGACGATTCGGTTAATTTATGAATGAACCAGATTTTTGTACATGTCTACTCTACTGGTAAAACAATTTGTAATCAATTCGTTCAGCGATTACCAGGAATTTTATTTGTACCAATCGCTTTAAACATATTTTTGCACATAAAACAAAGAAAGTGCACTGTGTCACATGAACGTGAGCGGTCGGAGTGGATGGCTCAGCCGACCGGGCTGTCTGGGGGGAAGCGCTCCGACACAGCATCCTCGTGGAGTGAGAGAGAGACGCGTCATGGGAGCGCGAGGTAGGTGAGTGTAGGAGCGAGGTCCTGATACTTAGCTGTCCAAGTTCAGTCCAACCTATGGCTGTGGTACATACTAGTGGTGGCTGGGGAAGTTTGCCCAGCTGCATCTCAAGTCATCAATAAAGGGGAGAATGGATACGGAAGACATAATCATAAGAGACACGTTTTTTTCCCCCCAACACATATCTGTAGCACATATAATGCCAATAGGTTAGACCTTTTTTTTCTTTTGTTACAAAAACTGGGGGTCAGGGAGGTGCAGCCTAACCTGTCCCTAGGGACCAGCCTCCACTGGTGTCTACATTTACAATCTGGACTGGAAACAGAATGTGCAATATAGGAAGGTTGTGGAAGTCACATGTGTGACCAGGGCTGAATATGCAAAGTGATTTCACTAATAAATGGCAGATAATTGAGCAGTGAGACTGCAGGGTAATAATCTATACACCACAACTGCTTCACTAAGCTACAGTTGTATTGGTGACTATCGTGTCCCTGAACGACTGACTGAACACTTATTTCTTTATTTCTCGTGTAGCCGCCATCCTCCAAATCTAACTGGTTCTGGGACTATTTCGTGGGATACTACCTTCTAGAATTCCTTCTCTGGATAAGGTAATGTACATCCCATTCCCCATGTTGGGAGCTCCTGTTTATGTTATGTTGGATTTAATGGACAATATCATTCAGTGTTGAATGTTGAATGGTTTTGCTGTATAATGAATACCTTGATATAAAGTGTTACCTGATATATATATCTTTACTCAAAATATGTTGGTTCCTTGATTTACTGTTAGTGTTATCAGGACAAACATCATTTGGTATAATCTACATTAAAAACCAGATGAAAAGGAATGTTTCAATCAGTGTAGCTAGTACCCACTGCGGTACCATAATGCCATGTGGTCATATGCAAATTAGTACACCCTATCGTTATATTCTGATCGATATTTTTACCAATACTAACCCACTGCTGAATGCAAAGCTCTTAGACTCTTACTCCAATATACAATACATTCAGTTTTTGGTCATATCAGTGTGAACTCATTAATCATTTCTTATTACATGTTATATGAGTAATAAACTCACTAGCAGATTTGATACAAGGTTGCCATAATAATTATTTAACTATCTATTTGCTGTAAATGGTTGCTGAATGACAGCTTAGCTTTGCATTCGTGTTCATTGTAATGGTATGTTTGCGGGAAACTGTGATTGCATTGTTTCATAGTGTCTATGGTGAAATGATTGTTGGCAATATATTTACCATCTCTGGGCTTCTGTTTGGATCAGAGGTGTAGGAGAGATATTAAACCCAATGCAAGCGGAAAAGGACATTCTGATTTTTTCCAGTTTTTATTTTATCGGGGTCATATATGTATATACCAGCAGTTTAACACATTTTAACAAACTACGTGTGATTTACAGAGAAGATTAAATGTCATCAAGACATTAACCCGAGGTAACATATGTCTGAACTCTCTCACTCCCTGTAGTACGCTTGGATAATTTCTTCTTACTTTTCATTCTCTGGTCTATATCCATCGAGGATCCAATTGATTCAGGAGAACTCACCTTCACATATTTCACTGAATTATGTCTCATCTAAAATATGACGTCAAATCATGTCTGTTTCTAGTTCCGGAGCAGCTAGGGAGCCACTTCTTCAAACTATCCTTCAATAACTATGCTCTAGGTTGTGGAGAAATTGTGTTTCAAGATTCTGTGCCTAACAGACACTTCCCAAACTTGCCCTTGAGATATTCTTGTGATGCACAACAGTCATTTTTGTATTTGCATTGTGGGGAGTTTTATTGTGTTTGGTCTTTTTGGTACCTAGTTATACACTCTCAGAATGTGTAGCAGTGACGGATCCAAAGGGGGGGGAGGGGAGGGGCAACGTGGTAAGTGTGTGCCTGTGCATTTATCTGGGTGTCTGTATGTATGTGTGTCAGTGTTTGTATCTGTGTGTCATTCTGTGTATATGTGTGTCATTCTGTGTGTCATCCTGTGTGTCTGTATGTGTGTATCAGTTTGTATGTATGTCAGTGTTTGTATCTGTGTGTCATTCTGTGTATATGTGTGTCATTCTGTGTGTCATCCTGCGTGTCTGTATGTGTGTATCAGTGTGTATGTATGTATGTCAGTGTTTGTATCTGTGTGTCATTCTGTGTATATGTGTGTCATTCTGTGTGTCATCCTGCGTGTCTGTATGTGTGTATCAGTGTGTATGTATGCATGTCAGTGTTTGTATCTGTGTGTCATTCTGTGTATATGTGTGTCATTCTGTGTGTCATCCTGTGTGTCTGTATGTGTGTATCAGTGTGTATGTATGTGTGTCAGTGTTTGTATCTGTGTGTCATTCTGTGTATACGTGTGTCATTCTGTGTGTCATCCTGTGTGTCTGTATGTGTGTATCAGTGTGTATGTATGTGTGTCAGTGTTTGTATCTGTGTGTCATTCTGTGTATATGTGTGTCATTCTGTGTGTCATCCTGTGTGTCTGTATGTGTCTATCAGTGTGTATGTATGTGTGTATCAGTGTGTATGTATGTGTGTCATTCTGTGTATATGTGTGTCATTATGTGTGTCATCCTGTGTGTCTGTGTCTTGCACCAGGGACCTGTCTTCTTAAGTTCCGCCACTGCAATGCATTGAATAAAATGAATGAGATTAAATTAGCCCCTCTCTCTTTGAAATCAGTTGTATATTAGTATTATTTTATCATTAATTTATTATTTATATAGCGCCAGCAAAATTCCGTAGAGCTGTACAATTTGTATAATATTAAGTGTAGTGTGTTTTTTTTTCTTTACATTGTAAAATGAGCTCAAAAGTGTTTTACATGGTGTGTGCTTGTATTCAAGCCTGAAGCTGTAGCTCTGCATGCTGCTTGCCTCAGAATAGCAACGTGTCTGCTGACATCATCAAAAGTGGTGGGCTGATCCAATCACTGTGCTTCCCCATAGGATTGGCTGAGACTGACAAGGAGGCAGATCAGGGGCAGAGCCAGCATGATTCAAACACAGCCCTGGCCAATCAGCATCTCCTCATAGAGATGAATTGAATTAATGAATCTCTATGAGGAAAGTTCAGTGTCTGCATGCAGAGGGAGGAGACACTGGATGTTTGGATGCATTTTAGGCAGCCATGACCCAGGAAGGAACTCTAAAGCCATCTGAGGAGTGGCCACTGACATTATCACTAAGCTGTAATGTAAACACTGCATTTTCTCTGAAAAGACAGTGTTTACAGCAAAAAGCCTGAAGGTAATGATTCTACTCACCGGAACAAATTCAATAAGCTGTAGTTGTTCTGGTGACTATAGTGTCCCTTTAATTTACAAAGAGCACTTTTATGAGGTTTATTGTTCTCATCTGTTCTTTAAATGAAACCAAAGGTCTTTAAAGGGACACTATAGTCACCTGAACAACTTTAGCTTAATGAAGCAGTTTTGGTGTATAGAACATGCCTCACTGCAGCCTCACTGCTCAATCCTCTGCCATTTAGGAGTTAAATCCCTTTGTTTATAAACCCTAGTCACACCTCCCTGCATGTGACTTGCACAGCCTTCCATAAACACTTCCTGTAAAGAGAGCCCTATTTAGGCTTTCTTTATTGCAAGTTCTGTTTAATTAAGATTTTCTTATCCCCTGCTATGTTAATAGCTTGCTAGACCCTGCAAGAGCCTCCTGTATGTGATTAAAGTTCAATTTAGAGATTGAGATACAATTATTTAAGGTAAATTACATCTGTTTGAAAGTGAAACCAGTTTTTTTTCATGCAGGCTCTGTCAATCATAGCCAGGGGAGG